TCTGATGCATAAGCACAGCAATAATACATTTCCAAGGCTCATTACAACTACAAAATTAAGGCAACTAATTCCCTTTTGATTACAAAATTCTAAACATCTCTAAAAGCTTTCCTTAGGGCAGTTTAAAGGCACAAAGCCTTCCCCCTTTCACTTCCTTAAACTCTCTCTCTACATCCTCCAAGTCCTTTCCTAGCGCAGGGCATAAGGAAAAAAGACGTAGAAAAATCTTTGGTTCCGACAAAGGAAAAAGAAGGAACACTGCACATGGCAAAAGTTCTAAACATCTCCTGTCTTGGTTGTTGTGGGTTTTTCGGGTTCTTTCGCCGTGATCTGAAGGTTTTTCTTCCTGACGTTTCGTTAGTCTCTGTGGCTGGCATCTTTGTCAGGAATTTGGCAACAGTAGAAATACGCAGAGTGATTGAAGACACTTACAAGTTCTTCTTTGTTGCAAGACGGTTGTATTTACAAGTATTTACATATATTTACAGGCAGGCATCTCAACAGCATGGCAGGAACTCTTTCGACAAACGAACAGCATGCATGGCAGCAAGTGGTGGAAGAGGAAGAGAAAGAAGCAAAGACACAGTCCACTTATATACATGTACATGGCTCATTCGGTCCAATCAGAATCCAGATAACTTCATCCTTTGCACCTGGTCTTCTTCTGGTTTCAAGTCATTGCATCATCTCCAGAGTGATTCAGCATTCTCACATCTGTGCACAATGGCAGCTCGTTAATGATACACTTATACATGTTCAGGCCTACAAAATTTCTATATTCTGACCATCTTCAGAGGACTGGAGTACGAACAGAGCATGGACAGAGTTCCTACTCCAGTCCTCTCAAGATCCCAGCCACAGAGACTGGCAAAACGTCAGGAAGAACAACCTTCAGAACATGGCCAAAGAACCCGAAAAACCCACAACAAGCATCAGATCCCCGCCATGAAAGCCTTCAAGAATACATTCCTCCTGTCTTCTTCGTCTTCCATGATGTCATTCAATCACAACACAAGGTGGTAGAAGTAACCCCTCCTTCTCTTCTCGTGAGAAAGTAGGTGCTGTTTGCCTCTTTCTACTTTCTTCTCCGCCATAACAAGTGTCTGGTCTTTTTATATTGTCTTGGCGGGACTGTCTAAAAGAAAAACATTCCCACAGCCCTCTTGGACAACATTCCTAGCATTCAAAATCATTCTTACACAGAACCAATATGGATCCATTTTACATTTCTTCACAACTACACAACCCATCTTCATACATGCTTTAACCTACATTTTCACGATCATGACAGTTATCATGATTTAGCATGTCCACGCTATGCTATGGAGAACTCTCTATGCATTCGCGAACGCTTTCACAGTCGGGATCGAATGGTTGTTGTGGGTTTTTCGGGCTCTTTGGCCGTGTTCTGAAGGTTCTTCTTCCTAACGTTTCGACAGTCTCTGTGGCCGGCATCTTCAGAGGATAGCACTCTGTCAGAGACTGGCGAAATGTTAGGAAGAACAACCTTCAGAACATGGCCACAGAGCCCGAAAAACCTCAGATTGTGTCTGGTCAAATCTCATTTGAAGGAATTATGGGCTATGGAGTTAAGATCAAGTCTTTAAAATTGAAACAAGCCATGTAATTGGTGGAGCCCTAGAAGCCTGTGAATTGAAGGATGAAGAAGGATGTAAGGGAGATAGTTAATGAAAAGAACCATCATCATCATGAATGGTCATCATTCTGACTTAGCATGTCCACACTATGCTATGGAGAACTCTGTATGCGCTTGCAAGTATTGCTTGGCTGGACAAGTCTTTCTTATCTTCTGTGGGAAAGCCCTACCATGCCTTGAGCTCTGTAAACGTTGTGTAGGCTACCCGAGGATGGTTTTTGTAGTCACTGCTGGAACATTTGTCAAGCTCTTATGCTTTGCTACTTTTGCTTTTCAATAAACTGACAGGGAAGGCGTTCCAGCTCTATGAGATGCAATTCACTAGACAGGAGGATTTGGAAGCAGAGGCCTTGATCTGCTTTTCTGTTTTGAAATTACCTTTTATAATTCTCCATTTATAACCTAACTCTGATTCAGAAGACGGCTCCGACCCTTCTCCTCCTAGATAAATTTGGGGGGCAAAGGAGCCTCCAAAGGGATCCTTCCAACGTCCTGCAAATGGAGAAGGAGGTCGAGGAGAAGAAGGTCGGTGAGGAATGAATGGCTGGTTGGATTTGGGGCAGAAAGAGCTGCGGGGCATCCGAGGGATTTCCTGGGTCTGAAAGTCCCGGAAGCCTTTCCTCCAAGCCGGGAAAGAGGAAGAGATCCTGCTTGTCTGAGAAGGGAAACCTTCTGGCGGGGAAGTTGGGCTTCCCTCTTGACCACCACCTGAAGAGTTTGATTCCTAGAGTGGACAGGAAGTGGGGAAATACGGGATAGACAGGAAGTGGTGGAGAGTCCT